CGGGGTGGGAGGACGGCCGGGGGCTCCAGCCCTAAGGAGCCGGGGGGCTACGTCCCATGGGGGGATTTTTAGGGATTTTTGGAAAATGTGACGAAATCCAAAAAGGCTGAAAGAAAAGCGGAGGAAGGGTGAAAAATATATATATGTGTAGGTAGATGAGCATCGTGGGGTTGCCCAAGCTGAGGCTTTGGGCTCCCACACAGTGCCTTGAATTCATTTCTTAGTGAATGAACTGCAGGAATGCGAGAGGCCAGTCTCCCCACCCGGGCAGCCCTGCCCCAGCTCCCCTCTGCAGCCCCTCTCCCTGCTCCCCTCCATGTGAGCATTCATTTTTTGTTGTTCTTCTTTCCTCTCCACCCTGCACTGCTCTTCTCTCCTTCCCCCTCCTCCTTGCTTGCAGGTCTGTGAAGAGCAGAAGTGTGAAGAAGAGGTTTTCCCCCTGGCCATGAATTACTTGGACCGATTTTTAGCTGTGGTGCCCACCAGAAAGTGCCATCTGCAGCTGCTGGGGGCTGTCTGCATGTTCCTGGCCTCCAAGCTGAAAGAAACCATCCCCCTCACTGCAGAGAAGCTTTGCATATACACGGACAATTCCATCAAGCCCCAGGAGCTGCTGGTAAGCAGCCCCCTGGCCTCTACCTTCAGTGCGCCCCACTGTTACGGCCTCCTCCACCCACTCACTCTCTCCACCCAACTTAAACCACAGCCTTCATTTGTACCAAACTATTCCAACAGTTCAAGACCTTTCTGCCCATGAGCCAAAGTCATCCATCTAAACCCCCTTTATGACCATTAAGGCAATTCCTGGAGTGGGGTGCAACCCCCTGCTTTTAAAGCATTGCATTTTTTACACTGTCAGGTATTGGAGACTCCTAGCCCTTTTCCATTTATTTCATGGATCCCAGGACCAGCAAATGTCCTTCTGGGGCATTTGTAGGGGTGGTTGCGTACTTTTTACAGCTGTATCCATCTTTTTAATAGAAGAACTCTTCTTTGCTGGCATGCACATACATATATGTACATGTGTTTAAATGGGAACGAAAGTTTCTGAGCAGAGTTCTTTTTAAAGGTGCTTGCTTTTGGTGCTGCACTGCCATCCAGTGTCAAACATGCACAAGTAGAAATGACTTCACCTTTGAACCACTGCCAGGATCTTTTCTCTTTGCAGTTTCCTTTCTGCTTTCAGTTTCAAAGGCACTGTCTGAACTATGAGGGACATTTTTCCTTGGCTAGGTACAAAATAAAATACATGGTGGCTTTCATCACCCCTTGCAAAATTCACATTCAAACAACTTTAATGAGCACTGATGCCGTATCTTAACTTTCATTTCGGGTTGGATCATGTTTCTCTTGAAGCCAGTGGAGGCTTTCCCATGATTCCAGTGGGTAGAGGACCAGGTCCTTCATGCTCTGAACTTAACAAATTACTAGATGTTAACAGATGCTAAGGGAATAGGTTGTTGCCTATGAAAGTTCATGTCTCTCTGAACCATTTCGTCTCTTCAGATGCCACCCTGCTCTGCCTTCTGCCTCTTATAGCTTTTGTAACTGTAGCTTTTTGGTATTCAGTCATAATGGTGACCTTACTGGTACCCATTGCTGTTGCATAGGATTATCAGCCAGCTCTTATGGAATGAAAACAGAAAAAAAAGTCTCTGTCATCCAACAGCAATTTGATTACATAATTAGCATTTGCAAAGCACTTCCAAGGCAGATTGCACTAAACTGGTGGTCAGTGTTATTTTATGAGGGTGCATGTTTCAATCAGATAGTTCTGTTTTCACAGTTCCTAATTTATATGTGTAAAGGTCCAGAGCTGACAAGTACTTCTTGTATGAAAAACCCATTGAAGGCAGTGGGAGTTGACATAAGGAGGTTTTAAGGTCTAGTTGGTACATAGCAAGGATCTTGCTCAACAGCCACAGCTCCACTTAGTGCTTACACCATTTAGTTGTCTCATGGATGGTATTAATCAAGACAGTAAATACCATGGCTGCACTTGAAAAAAAAATTTACAGACATACTTAATTATTTATACTTCATTGGGAGTTCAACATGTGCTTAAACTACTATACTGAGTTAGGATGTTTTCCTACATCCAGGACTATGGTAGAAAGTGTTTGGAAGATCAGTCCATAACTGATTGTCATTAATCATTAATTGACATTTCATTTGACATTTTATTAAAATAGTTTATGACTTTTTTTCCTTGAGAAATTACTCAGGACTGGTTTCAGGTAACAGTTCTCGACCCATTTTAATAGTAATGAGATCTGGGGGAAGAAGGTTTCAAGGCTTATATATTATCCTAATAGGAATATTTGTGGCCAAACCGCTGTTCAGTAAAGCAGAGCTCTGTTCTGAAAAGCCACTGTCAGAATGGGCTTGTGGGGTTCCATGTGTGTTACCTTCCAGGAATGCAGGTGCAGGTCTGCTCAGTCCAGAAGTAAAAAGAAGTTATTTTCAACTTGCCAACCCTGCCAACTGAACCTGGGCTCCAGGACTCATGCTGGGTCCTTTTAGGCACCAACATCATCAAGCAAAAAGAGTGTGTAAATGGCACTTCGTTAATAACTTTGAAGATGCGCGAGGCAGAGCAGAATCCAGCGCCCTCACTCTGAGCTGTGTTGACTCTGCTGGGTAACTAGGAGTAAAATGCAGTGAAAACTCTCTTTAGACTTTAAAATCAGCAAATATGGTTCAAAGTGCAAGGAAGGAGCTGATCTGATTGAGAAGATGCCATTTTCATGTACAATCACTTGTCAGGACATGAGCAGCTTATGGGTATAAACAGTTTTGCCCATCCGAAGCTTCCGTTGGCTTCATTGGGAGCCTTGGGAGTGAAGCAGTTTGGGATTGGATCCTCTGTAGTTGATTGCCAGGTTATTCGTAAGGCTTCTTCTCAGATGTGATGTGCATTTATTTCCCTTCTACAAAACTTACTTTTAGGGAGCAGAAATTGTCTGATTTATCTAAGAACGTTTATGACATACCAAATGCACTTGTAAAGAAAACATGGTGGTGCTAACTTTTGCAGTTTAAAAAAATGTATGCTTTTGGTTATTTGTGGGCACAGCACTCCGTAAGGCTTTACATGGCTATAAATTAAGGGCTATAGCCATTTAAAATAAGTTACTAGGAAAGGACCACAGTGACCTTGGCAATATCTAATTTCAGGCTAAACTTTCTGGGTGGGCATTCAACACTGGATACAAAAAAAGGAAAAGTGTTGGCAGGAGCTGCCAGGCCTCATTACTTTCAGTGGAGCTTGACATTTTCAGTATTTGGAAAAAAAAACGGAATAAAAAGAATAAAGTCAACAACTTCAAAGCTTCCAGGGTATATTGAAAAAAATGTTCAGGCAGAACCAATTTAGTAGTGATATAATTGCAATCAGTAAAATGAGTGAGTTCTTTTATTCTCCTTCCCACCCCCCTGTTTGCCTATCATTTTCCCTTTTTTGCCTGCTTCAGGAATGGGAGCTGGTGGTGTTGGGCAAGTTGAAGTGGAACATTGCAGCGGTGACTCCACATGATTTCATTGAACATATTCTAAGGAAGCTGCCTCTACCTAAAGACAAGTTGCTTTTGATCCGGAAACATGCACAAACATTTATTGCCCTTTGTGCTACAGGTATGTCAAGCGGTTTCGGGTCACTGACTGCTGCTTTTGGTGTGCATAGAAAGAAAGATTAGTCTTAAAAAAGTAATGGAAAGGGCCCAGTCCCCGTATCCCTAAATCCCAGTGAAGCCAATGGGAATACTTGCCTAATGGCTGCTTATTCAGGCCTGGACTTGTGTGTGTGTTCATGCAGAATTCTTGCATTTGAGAACAACAATGGAGTGATCCCAGTCTGAGCTCATTGAAGTTAATGGAAGCGTATCCAAGGACTTCTGTAGGCAGACCTTATGGTTTTCTGCTTATCTCGTCTCTTTCTAAGAATTGCTTATGAGGACAGGGGTAGCACAGCAAAAAAATAGGAGTTACTGTTGCCTGTTAAGAAATTGCTTAGGAAGTCAGATGTGGTCTCTGAAGATTGCATACATTATCAGATCCAGTACAACTTTAGCATTATGAATGAGAAACAATTTTAATGGTCACATAACAGGACAGTGCTAAAGTAAAATAATAAACTTATATAACCTGTGATAGTACTAAGTTACTGAAGCACAATCAATTAACATCAAATCAAATTTAATTTGTACTTTTGACACTTAAAATGCCACTTAATTCCAAGTAAACAGTTAGTCTTTTTAGTTTTTTACAACTATTCAAAATATTTTAATTATCTTAACTTATTTAAAAATCTCTCTTTTAAATTAAAGCTTAAACATTCAGCCTTAAGCTTCTTGAGCGTCACATTGAAATTGCACATCATGCTTTTGTTAATTTAGGTATGTTACTTAAAGATGGTCTAATCATTCAACCTCTGAGAGAGGTAGAATTAGAGGTCACGTCACTGCTCAGAATGTGTATTTGGCTTTATAGAACAGGGATTGCTTCCAGCTACAGGTGTCATAGGACGTGGCATAGTGGGGTGCTACTCTTGATTTAGAATTTTGGGTGCCGCCCTGATATAAACATTGAGAATTTACAACTTTTCAAAGTGGACTAATTTTGCTAATTGTTCAGATTTTTATATTTAAAGAATAATTTTGTGGACTATGTAAGTTGATATCCTCTTAATAGAACTACTTTTCTGACCACTGAAAGATGAATATATAGAGATATTTTCATATACTGTTGACTGAGGTGTGACAGACTCATAGCTGACCATCACATCTGCACATTTACCTTTTCTTAGTTGTAGTGCAGAATTACTTGTCTTTTTTAAATACTCCTTCCTTTCCTTCTCCTTCTGGTTTCAGTCGACATTCAAGCAAGACTTTACTGAGTTTAGTGGACATATTGCTTGAGGACAATAAGATCACTTGGTATTTTACCTGCTAGTATTAGTATTTACCAGCATCTCTTTCCTTCCAGATTTATCGATTGTTGTCAGCTGTGTACTGGTTTAACTGCATCTAGTCTCATCACTAGGGTTTTGCTCAGGACTTCCAGTCTCTAGTGGAATGGAAACTCGACTTTTCGCAGGCAGTTCTTCCACCTCTTTCAACCAAGAATTACTATATCCTTGACTAAACTTTGCCATTCATGGTCTGTCTTTAAACCTATTTGGTGTTGACATGGGTGTCTGGTGTCTCTTGAGTCAGGGGGACACATCCTCCGGCAGCCAATCCTGCTGACCAGTGTGGGGAGGGGTCCCGGTGGCCAATCATACTCAACAAAAAGCGGCTACGCCACTTCTGGAACTTCCATGACCGCTTTTGCTGGTGGTCCCACTTCCCAGCCGGCGCTTGCAGGGGGTCACTAGTGCTCCCGCCAGCTAAACAGGGAGTGCAGCCTGACAGGCGTGCACCCACGCTCTCAGGGGGTGCATGTGCACCCCAACATGTTGCCCCTGGATGTCAATCTTCCCAAACTGATCTATTCCTACCTTTTCTGTGTTGCTGTTATCTTAAGTGGTGGTTCTTCAGCTTTTAAGCCAGTGGGCCAGTTTCTGAGAGTGAAAGACATTCTGTCTTGAGCCCATCTCTCTTTCTAGACTTCAATATCCAATTCCCTATTTGCATTCTTAGTGTGGAACCATTGGAGTGCCACAGACTATAGTTTGTGAAACAGTCCTGAGTCACTGATCTGTCCGCAGTCTCTCTCAGTTAATTCTGTGTTGGATGACTTCATGTTCCCTATATCCACAACTCCACCCTTGGCTCAGCCCTTGACCAGTTTGTGCCTTCCTGTCATGCATTTCCTTCTGTGCTCCTCAATACATGGATCATATTCAGAAGCTTAAGTTCCTTTTCTTGTTCCTAAAAAGAGCATATCAGAATGCCTTGTTCACCAGGACATACAGAAAACCCAGTTCATCATATAGAAAAGCTGTCTTCTTTCAGGATTGACTGGGCTGTGGATAGTCACTTAGTGTGTTACCGTAGGCAAGCTAGGGGTCACACCAGGTATCCATTGCAGTCTGAATCATTAGGTTGAGGGTTTGAGGTGGTGTCGTGGTCAGAGCAGATGGAAGATCAGAGCCAGGAGGTCCAAACATGGCAGGGGCAGAGACTGCAGCAAGGCAGGAATCAGGCAGGAGCCAGGCAGAAGTCCCGAAGCATATACAGGAGTTTTATTGCTGGGACAAGTCCTACAGGAAGTAAGAGGTGTTTTATGGTCCCTTTATTATGGAAACTGCAAGCCCCTAGGTCCTTCCCATGAGGACATTGATGAGGAGTCAGGTAGCCAAGAGGAACAAGGCTGGGTTGGGGCTGGTGTCTAACCATCTGCCCAGTGGTGCCACAGACTTTAACTCTACCAGCTGGCTTGGCTGCTCTGGGTTCAAATCTCAGTGGTCCTAGCATCTAAGTGTCCATGGATTGGCCCTAGGTTCATGAAGCTGGTTGTGGAGGTTGTTTTTCTTCCAGTCCCATTATCCCAAATGGATTGGTTTAGGAACAGTGCATTCCTGCAGCTGTGCAAGGGGTTGGAATGGATGACTCTTCAAGTCCTTTCCAATTCTAGGTTTTTGCCAGTTTCTGTGAGGAGGTTAATACATTTTTTTCCCAGCATCATCAAAACACATAATGTCCCTGCAGCTTCAAGGCCAGAGGCCTCATTCCCCTTTATTCACTAACAACCTGCTATCAGTTTGCGCACTGTTTCTTGCATTACAGTAAATGCCACATCATTTCTATTATATGCTTTTTTCACCACGTCCATCTGCAGAGCCATTACTGTCCTCACGTATGGAGAGAAAGGCACTAGCCTTCCTTCCCCCTTCAGCTGTTCTCTTTTTCTTGTCCCTTGCCTCATCACCATCATTCGTCACTGCATTTTCACTTGATTTCTTTTCACTCTCTCAGGACTAATGCTGTCTCTCAATTTGGGTAAAAACTACTGTTTTATACCCCCATTTGACCTTTTTCAGCAGGGTGGCCTCCTTCAACCTTTAGCCATCTCTCTTAGTCCAAGCTCCCTTAACTTCTTCTAGCCTGGCTTTTGACCTTTTCCCACTACCAAGACTGACCCTTTCTGGGTGGCTAATGACTACCATTGATTGTGGATCATTGATTGTAGATCTCTGTCCATCTCTTCGTTTCCTGTTTAAGCTCAGTGAAGGTTTCTTTACTATCAATCACTTTTTCCTCATTAGTGTCTCAGGTTAGAAGTTAGTGACCCCTTCACTTTCTGCCTCAAGTTGGAGTCCTAGCTCTTCAGTGGATCCATTTTCATTTCTGGTGGAAGCTTCTCATCAAAGTTGCCAAACATTCGCCCCTGCAACAGCTAACCAGTCATACTCCCCAGTCATGACCACAATCCCATGATCCCTTTTTTTTGTCAGCAGAGGCAGTGAGGTTGTGCCAAGCAACCATTGCTTGTTTTGGATGGGAATTCAAGGTGAAGGATGGGTGTCAGGATTGCCTTCACAAGAGAACAGCTCAGAAAGGGAAAGGATTTCTCCCTTGTTACCTGACTTGGCTCTGCTGGAACTCACCAGTACCCTCATCTACCTAGAATGTCACATTGATATGGATGTACCTTGTTCTACACCTCTCTCTCACTTGTTCTGTTACCTTTTTGTTTTCCTACATCTTCATCCTTCTTGTCTCCAGGGATATTTTATGAAATCCAACCCATCGCGAGGTCTACAAAGCTGTTCCTGATAAGAATAAGTGTAACCCATTCTTCTTGTTCATTGCTGGTGATGCCTTACCATTCTGTTACTGAACACTTGGAAGAACTGGAGTGTCTTGTAGACAAAAGTTTTCTTTGTTCCTCCTCTCCCATTCTGATACTGCTTTTCAAAACCTAGGTCTCAGCCTTTAAAATGCCTCAGGGTAATAATCCTCAGGGTCATCCTTGACCCCCTTTTTACCTTCCAGGTCTCTCTCATCTGCAAATCTGCCTATTGCCAGCACCTGAACACTGAATTCATCCTTTCCTGGACACCCTGCATCTGTCTAAATCTTTTGCCATTTCTTATTCATTCCCTGCCTTGACTAGAGTTTATGCCCTTGAAATTTCAGACACCAACATTTTGTGACCAGACTCTTCCCTTTACAGAGTCGAACTAGGCTACTGCTTATCTTTCACCTTTCCTATCTCCCTGTTTCACTTAGGGACATGCTCCATGCTACCTCCTTAACCTTACCTCCATCTACTTTTTTTTGCCTTACCGCCTTCATTTTGGCACACTTGGCCCCATTTCTGTCCCTTCCCACAGCCCTCCACAACTTGGACCTGTTCTTTCACTTGAGTTGCCCTGTCTGCCTGGAGTTCCCACACTCCAAGCCTCGGAATCGCTCCTTGAGGAGTACGAAAATTCATCCATTACAGATGATGTGCTGGACATCTCAACCTGAAAGTAGAAAGAGGAACATTCATGATTTTATTGACTTTAAATCTCCATTTGTTTCCCCTCTTCCAGGTCCTTCAGAGTCAAAATGTTGGCCTTATCTTATGTGATTTTCTTATATTGGAGGCAAGAAGTTCTAGTAGTTTAGTATAGGGCAATTCTATTTTACCCCAAAGCCTACAGATGAGTAGGGTTTTGGATGGAAGGGGAGTTAGCCAAACCA